CTTGCCAGGCAGTTCATTTCAATTCATGTCATGACAAAGAAGCAACACTGTCCAATTAGTCTGTGGCTTTGTGAACAGATTCTAGTTCCACATATGATGACTATCTATATTCTCTGACATTTGAATATACCTCAGGTAGAAAACTAAATCACCTCTGGTATCTCAATTAGAATCCCAGCCCTTGATATCTAATAGCTATGTGACCTGGACAAGTGATTTGTATTCAACCCTCAGATTCTTCATCTGTAAAATGGGACTGACAATGCTTTCCCATTGGATTTTATATAAATTAAATGAAAAAGTTTATTTCAAAGCTTTCTATATAATAAATATCAATAAGAAATTATTTTCCTTCCTTCTTCCTTAACCAAGAACAGGAATTATTTAATTTGGCTCTGTAAAAAGCACCAGACAGTAAATTTTTTAATTACTGAGTGCTCCATAGTTTCTGTTACAACTACTCAAGTCTATTTTTGTAAGGTAAAAACATCTACAAACAATGAGCATGACTGTACTTCAATATAACATTATTTTTAAGACATAGATTAGATTTAGCCATTAGTTGTCATAGTCTGATAATCTGCCTTCCTAATACCACATGTCCAGATATCACACTAAGTAAAATTTTCAATATTCTGTTAGATTCCATCTGCTCCAGATATTCCTTCTCCTTTTTTCTCATAGTTTTTATTCTATTTACTGTAAACATCAGAACAAATGATTCTAGTTCAACGGTTTAACTAACTTTTTTTCACATCTAATTTTATGCCTTGAGACATTCCCACAGGGGGTGAGTTCTTGGACCTGAGTCCGTTCAATTCATTCATTCACAATAGAAGTTTGGGGTAAATAAGCCAGACTTAAATCGTCCCTTCAACCCTCAAAGAGAGATGCAAAAGGCAACCATTCCTCAGGAATTCAGAGTTTATAAAAAAGAGCTTTCATTTGTGAAGGAAACATTGCACCTCACTTATTAGTTTTATGCTGCTTAAGTAATATAACAATTGTTAATTTTCTATCCCTGTCTTGAAATTCTGTACCATCTGCATTGTTTATGTTGCTTTGTTTCTGTCTTTGTTCTTGTTACTTGTTTTTGTTTTTCCTCTTTGAAGCAAAATTTTGAAAAAATATAAATAAAGATGCGTACATTTGCTTGTGTATGTGTACCAACCATCTTACTAAATGTCTCTTCTCATCTATTTACTAAACATTGGAGTGTCCTCTGTGTGACCATTAATTATGATTGTCAACCTGCCTGGATTAAGAGATGTCTACCAGAATAGGAAAGCACATTTCTGGGTGTGTCTGGGCAGGCTGGGACTGTGACCATGGGGTAACCCTTGTTCCTTCTCTCTGCTGCTGTTCCCTCACTGTGCTCTCTAACTGCAGTGCACTAAGCAGTTGTCCTCTACCAAATGCTTCCACTGTGATGTTTTTTCCTTGTAGACAACTGCCTGTGGACTGAACCATTTCAAACCGTAATCCAAATTAACCTCTCCCCTTCAAGTTGTGTATGCTGGGTATTTGGTCCAAGGGACAAGAAAGCTACTAATATACTCTCTGCCTCTCCTTTATCCCCAAAAGTGGGCCTCTTCTTGTTTCTGACTCTTAAATGGGTTATAAACTGATTCTTGGCCATCACTCCTCCTCTTCTCTTTATAGATCCTTATTTTCTTAGGGAATTCATGTGTACACAAGTCTTTACATAGTGGGAAGAATAAAGCAAAGTAAGGCTTAAATCCTGGCTCTGTGATTTATGAGCTGTGCTGCATAGGAAAAGTGATTTTATGTCTCTGAACCAGGTTTCCTGCATTCTAAAATGGAAGTTCATTCATTTTTTCAATAATCTTTATTGAGCACTTACTATGAACCAGGCACTGTTCTAGATATATGAGATTCATTAGTAAACTAAACAGATAAACATTTCTGCCCTTAGAAAGCTCCTATCCTAGTGGTGGGATGGACTAAAATTAAAAATATACTATATAAGAAAACTAGATAAAAATACTAGAATGTGATAAAAACTGTAAAAAAAAAAAAGGAAAAAGATTACACTATAGCTTTTAAAAGCTGGTCAGATCAGGGTGTATCCCTCTGAGAAAGCAATTATTCAGAACAAAAATTCAGAAGAGGTGAAGAAATTAAAAATAATAGGTCATCTGATGGAGAAAATGCAGGCAGGGAAACCAACAAAGGTCCTAAAGGCTAAAGCATGCCCAGTGTTTTCTAAGAACAATAAATAAGCCAGTGGGAAAGAAAGGAAGTAGGCATAGGGAAGAGCAGCAGGAATTAAGGTCAGAGAGAGAATTAGACCAGCTCACCTAAAACCTTGGAATGCACTGGCAACAAGACTACAGTACTTATAAGAAGGACATGTTGATCACTTCCTATGGAAAGAAATGTCAGCATTTAGTCAGGATGGGCTCTAGCAAAGATTGCGTGGTCTCTTTTAACCTGTCTCCTTATCCGTGAAATAGGGATAATACTGGCATTGTTGTGAGTACTGAGCATATAAATACTTGTTAGATGTTGATTATTATTTATTATTATTTTCTATTCAATTTTCCCTCTTTTTTAGGAGCTCATATTTTCTTACTCCATCTAGAATGGATAAAGAATTAAAAAAAATTCAGACACCAAAAATTCAAAGAAAAAAAATTCAAAGACCCAATCTAAAAATATTAGCATCTGAAACAAATACATGCTTCTCAGATGAAGAAATATAAGTGGCAAATAAATATGTGAAAAAAAATGTTCAACATCATTGGTTATCTGAGAAATTCAAATTAAACAGCATTGAGATTCCACCTCACCCCAGAAAGAAAAGCTAGCATCAAGAAGTCAACCCATAACAAATGCTAGCAGAGCTGTGGAGAAAAGGAACCCTTCCCCACTGTTGGTGGGAGTGTAGACTGGTACAATCACCGTGAAAATCAGTGTAAAGATTCCTAAAAAAACTAGGATAAGTGGCCTCATTCAACTCAGCTATTCCTCTCCTGAGTATTCCCCCAGAAAAACTAAAACATCATACTACAGCAACATATGTGTATTATGTTTATAGGAGCACAATTTGTCATAACTAAATCTTGAAAACAATCCAAATGCCCATCAACCAAGGAATGGGTATTTTTTTACATAATGGAATACAACTAAGCCATAAAGAAATAAACTAGAGACTTTTATGGGTAAATGGATACAGCTCAAAATCAGACTCGTATGTGTAAACATCTTATTGTCTCCCTGGTATAAGAAACTGAAAGAGTAAATAAGATCCAAAATATACAATAGAGGGCCAGCAAGATAGCCCAGCAGACTAAAGAGCCTGCTTAGGCAAGCTCAGGCAAGTGCAGGGAC